ATAATATTAAATGCCCGAAGAACAAACAAATCTATCTTGAAAGAAGTAAAGTCAGAATGCTCCTTAGAAGGAAGGACTTTGTCTCACATACTTCAGACATGCTGTCATAAGATGCCATTCTTGGTAAGGTAGACAGTCAGTGAAAAGAGGAAGACCCTCAGTGAGGGGGATTGACCCATTGGCTTCAACAATGGGCTCAGAGCAAGGCTTGTGAGGATGGTGCCGGACCAGGTAGCGCTGCATTCTGTTGTACGCAGGGTCGCTATGAGATGGAACCACCTCTGTGGCACCTAACATACAACAAGCGGTAGTATTTCAAACAGTTCATCTTTCTTTCCTCCTTGATTGACTTCCCAGAGCACCTGGCTGCTCCCTCTCAGTATCCTTCCCTGATTCTGTCTCGTGCCCCAGGTCCTTAAGTGCTGGTCATCTCTGCTTTACATTAACTCTCTTGGTATTCTAATCTGGTCTCATGACTTTAAAATAAAATCTAAATCTGATGACTCCCCAATTTGCATATGCAGCCTGAATCTCTTCCTTAAACTCTACACCATGTTCATACTACCTGACATTTCTGTCTGGATATCTAAGAGGTATCTTTTATCAATAAGACCAAAGACAAACAGTACCCTCTAGTTGCCTTCCTATTGCCTTCGCCCATTCAGCAAGTGGAAACACAATCCTTCCAGTATCTGAGACCAAAAACCTTGGAGTCATTCTGATTCCCGTCTTTTTCTTCTATTGTTGGGATTGTTAAGTGTTGTCGAGTCGGTTCCAACTCACTGTGACCCTGTATATGGTTTCTGAGGCTGTAAATCTTCACGGAAGCAGAAAGTCTCATCTCTCTCCCATGGAGTAAGTAGCTGGTGACTCTAGCGAATCTCACTGGTTCTACCTTCAATCCATGTAAAGAATCCAATCACTTCTTATCACATCCACTGCTGAGATTTTGGTCCAACTCACCAACACCGCCTTGACTAAAAACACTGCAATAGTTGATGCTGCTAAGACTGTCGCCTGCTGACTCTTCCCCACCCCTAGAAACCATCCTCAACGAAGAGGAGCTGTCTCATCCAAAATTATGACTCCTCAGGGGCAGCCCACATCTAATGACTAGTTCACAAAGCCCCGCCCCCTGGCTTCAATTTAGAGGCTCTCATAAGGGCGTTCCAGCCTCAGAGTTACGTTTGAGATAATCTGAGGACTCTGCTGTGATTATGTTATATTTCAACTTCTCCCTCTGCCAGATACTGCCACCTCATTTCTTTGTAGGTATTGTTCCTAAGAGAAAATATCTAAAGTCTACTTTCCAAGAAACTGGACCTAAGATGTCACTAACCTGTTTTCAACATGGCAGCCAGAGCAATCCCATTAAAACACAGACCTAACCAGATCGCTCCTCTGCCAAAATTCTTCTAAAGGCTTCCATTTCACTTGGAGTTCTGTGTCCTTACACAGTCTGCTCTCCTCCGTTTCCTCAGTGGCCTATTTGATATCCCTTGACCACATCAGGTTCACTCTCACCTCAGGACCTCTGTACATGCTGTTTTCTCTGCCTATAATAAATGTCCCCAGATGGTCACATGGCTTAGTGCTCCATCTCCTTTAGGTCATACTCAGATGTCCCCTTCTCAGTGAAGTCTTTCTTGCCATCCTGTTTAAAAGTTCAACAGCTCTTGAGGAGTCCCTATCCCCTTCTTGATTAGATTTTCCTTCTTAGCACCTATCACTAATTATCATATGACAGTGAAATTTGTAAGAGCTAAAACTCAATGGACTGTCTTGTTTTTCCAGGTCTTATAAGTTTTCCATCCTTAACAGGGTACAGTCCTATTATTTTTCTATGTCTCATTTGAGTAGGAAATATTTGAGCTTTCTTTCTCTGACAAGATTCCACCTTACTCAGTTTCTGGCTTTTGCAGGTTTTGCAACATATGTTTTATTTATTTATCACACTGATTGCCTATTTGCCCAATAGAATGCAGGTTCCATTAGGCCAATGTTGTTGTCTTGTTCACTGACGTATGTCCAAAGGCGAGAACAGTACCTGGCATGTAGTAGGTGCTCAATGAACGTTTGTACATGAATTTTAGAAAAGTACATACTTTGTTTAGTTCATGCAACAGCAATTAAATTCTCATTTTTGATTACTGCCCATTCTCATTGATGATTAATGCCAAAACAGCATACCTGGGCTACGACGTCTATTATTCTTCCCTTGATATGAACATCCTCAAGAGGAACTAAATTCCCAGATGTATCCTGAAGACCAGCTTTGATGTTGCTGAAAGGTTTGGTATCTGGTAACTGGTAATCTATATATGAAAAACATCAAGGTTAGTTTTTTTTAAATCACCCGACATGGTCTATTTTTTGTCTTGATCTTGATCATTCCTACTCTTCCCATTTTATGTCTTATAGGTTATGACAAATGGACAAAAATCACTATCTTTGATTTTTAACAGCAAATTCTGAAAAGTAAATTAATCACCCAACCAATTGCTGTCAAAGTCAATCCTGACTTATGGCGACCCCGTGTGTATCAGAGTAGAACTACACTGCAGAGAGCTTTCCAAGGTTGATCCTTCAAAAGTACATCACCAGACCTTTTAGTTGGCATCTCAGTGTGGCAACTATTTGCACCACCCAGGAACTGCACTGAAGGATAAGAGTGTAAAAGTGAGGGCGGCATTTTCAAAAGACACTTTTGCCTTTTTAATCTATAGACTTGGGGAATCATCTCGAACACTTAGAATCATGCTACAATGGGAAAGAAACCAATTTAAACACACACACAAACATGCTAAGGTCTTTAAACTACTAAGCAAATGAAGCTTAATCAATCTGGAGATTTGTATTCCTCCACTTGCATTAGTCACTATTAGATATTTTGCCATAAAAGCATTTTTGCAACGACACAAAACTACATGGACTTTTGATTCAAAAATGATTAATTCAAACTCTTGGTACAGCATATTGAGTAGCATTCAAATATTATACCAAGTGATTGAGAAATACAAATATGGCTAATTAGGAGTCCTGGTGTGGTGCTGTGGGTTAATGCACCCACAACGCCGTTTGAACTGTAAGGTCAGCGGTTTAAATTCACCTGCTCCTTGGAAACTCTATACAGGGTTGCTATGGGTCAGAATCAACTTGACAGCACTTACTAACAACAATGACATACATACAAACTGTCTTCCACGCATTTCATTTGCTGACTTCTTGAATATATACAAACTTGTTGTTAATAGCCGTCAAGTCAGTTCTGACTCATAGCAACACTATATAGGGTTTTCAAGGAGTGGCTGGTGGGTTTGAACTGCCAACCTTGTGGTTAGCAGTCCAGTGCTTATTCTACAGCCATAGCAGGACTCCATATGAACTCATACATTCTGATAAAGCAGCTTTATCACAGTTAAAAAATATTCATGTCCTTTTATAAGCCTACTAATTAATGTTACAATACTTGCGTTTTCTGAACAACTACCTTCCTCTCATACAGTTGTATTATTACTTACATATAAACTACACATTAAAATGTATAGAATGTCTTCATTTATCCCATTTAATAGTCCTTACAGCAACACTCTGAAGCAGACATTGCTCTCATTCCATCTGAAGAACACAGATGTTCAGAAAGATTATGTGATGTGTCAAGAATACACAATCTAGGATTTGACAGGGTCTCTGAGGCTCAAAGCCAAGCATCCTGACTGAAAAACTGTCTTCTTTATATTCTATCATCTCTCAGTACGCTTTTTGCACTCTGAAATCTTTAAAATTGTTTAATGGGTTTACGATTAGCTATCCTGGTGTGGTTGTTTTTGTTGTTAAGTACCGTGGAGTCAGTTCCGACTCATAGTGACTCTGCACAGGGTTTCCAAGGCTGCAAATCTCTACAGGAGCAAAAAGCCTCTTCTTTCTCCTGTGGAATGGCTGGTAGCTTCAAACTGCCAACCTTGAGGCTAGCAGTCTGATTTGCAGTCACTACGCTACCAAAGCTCCTTTGGTGCGATGCTATAGGATAATCACTGGACAACAAGGTCGGTTTGGACCACAAAATCGGCAATTGAAACATACCAGCTGCTCCTCGAAAACCCTATACAGAATCACTATGAGTCAGAACTGACTCGACAGCATTTAAGTTAACAATCCTGGGATGGACAAATTAAATGTAAGTGTGCTAATGAAGTAACACATCATTTTGAGATCACTTCATCTTTCTCACCACTACTCATCTGTCAGTTTGTCGTACTGTGGTGGCTTGTGAGTTGCTGTGATTCTGGAAGCTATGCCACGGGTATTTTAAATACCAGCAGGGTCATCCATGGTGGACAGGTTTCAGATTAGCTTCCAAATGAAAACAGACTAGGAAGAAGGAGTGACGACTACTTCTGAATATTTAGTCACTGAAAACCTTATGAACAGCAGAGAAACACTGTCAGATATAATGCTGGAAAGAGAGCCCCTCAGGTTGGAAGGCACTCAAACTGTGACTGGGGAAGCGCTGCCTCCTCAAAGTAGAGTTGAAGGTGGAGGGTCAGAGAAAACGAGGAAGACCCCCAGCGAGATGGATTGGCAATATGGCAGCATCAATGGGCTCAAGTGTGGCAACAATAGTGAGGTTGGCCCAGGACCGGGCAGCGTTTCATTTTGTTGTTCACAGGGTCGCTATGAGTCGGTATCAACTCGATAGCACCTAACAACAACAAAAGCCATTCTCAGGCATCCTGGGTTTTCATTTGTACAAAATCAAAAGGAACTATTTAGGCACAGGGTCACAGATATGAGATAAAGTCCACTAAAAATGGTGGTGGTGGTGTACCATGGAGTCGGTTCCAACTCATAGCGGCCCTGTACAGGGTTTCCAAGGCTGTAATTCTTTACAGGAGCAGAACTTCTCATTTTTCTCCCACAGAACAACTGGTAGTTTCAAACTGCTGGCCAGCTCAATTTGTAACCACTACACTACAACACTTAAATTCTATTACTGGTAAAAAAAGGTCTTACCTTCAGCCTTTGAAACACTTGGAAGTGCAGGTATGTATTCCTCTAAATCAGTACTACAATGAGGACGAAAGTCCTTTTTCTGATCTCCAGGAATGCAAAATTTAATGATATATTTCATTTTAATCTGATTGGTTTTATATACAACAAATTCATCATCCTAGGCCAAATAGAAATGAATAGGTGGTGAAAAACAAAAACAAAAAATCTTTGTTGGTAGATGTTCTTATAAAACACAATTTCATATTTATTCATTTAGAATATATTGAATCCAGACAATAGATATACAATAATTATTTACACTTAAGAGATTAATAAAAAAGAAGCAAAGAGTTGATACTCCTTGTTCATTTCCTGATAAAATACCTCAAAGTCAGAGATGACAGTTGCTGTTTGCGACACACCATGCACACTGTCGTAGCCTGGCGGAGCTTCTGTTAATGAAAAGTCCTTCTTGTACAAGTCCATACACTTTCCGAGGGCCACATCACAAATGGCCAGGAGTCGAGAGCCATCTGTCTCTCCTGGGTGTGAGTACTTAATGCTTGTACTGTATGTGAAAGGAAATAATACACATATATAATTTATAGTTACATGTCTTTTATTGTCCATATAGAAAACAATGCATTAAAGACATTCCAAACCGAATATTTCAAGGATTATTATTTTGGAAATAGCTCCAAATATTCAATTTAGAACTTTATTATTCACTTATTTTTTTGACAGTTTTTATTTAACCAACAGATACAGCACCCTTATGTTGTACAAGGCAGAGCTCAAAGCACTTTTTTCCCGGGAGGAGGTAAAGTCTACGTTTCCCTCCAAATCTTTATAATCTAGTAACATATCTACCTGTTGCTATAGTAAACACCAGAGTGGTAAAAGAGAAGGAAAAAACGTCTTATTAATCAGGAAAAAATTTAATTTAATTCTCTGCATTAAAGTTCATAAAGAGCATTGAATATTATGCAAGTTCTTTACGAACCTTAGTGCAAGGAATTAAATCTATTTTTTCCCGATTGTTGTTGTTGTTGTTAAGTGCCATGGAATCAGTTCTGACTCCTAGCGACCCTGTATAGGGTTTCCGAGGAGCAACTGCAAACCTTGTGGTTCAAACTGACCTTGCAGCCCAACGCATTAACCCACAGCGCTACACCAGGACTCCTTTTCCTGATTTATAAAATGTTTTTCCTTGTCTTTTACCACTCTGGTGTTTACTATGGCAACAGGTAGATCTCTTACTAACTAATAAAGATTTGGAGGAAAGCATAGACGTCACCTCCTCCTATAGCTCCACACCAGGACTCCTTTTGATGTTGTCCCCTCATGTATACAAGATGTAGGATGATCATGGGGGCTTATTATGAAGAAATTTTAAAAAATTGGTGAGAAAAAGGTCAGGAAAGTTGTGTCGAGAAATTCTTTCTCCATCACAATATATCTGCTCATTCTTCAAGGGTAGCTAGGGATGTTCTATGAGAATTTCATTGGGAAACCTAACTCCATTCACCCTACAGCCCTGATCTTGCCCATTCAGACTTCTTTTTGTTCCCCAAACTCAAAGAACTTTGCAAAGGAACATAAGTTGAGTCCTTTGACGATGTCAAAGCAGCCATGGTGTATAAGAAGTATGTACACAGAGCCCTGAGCCCAGTGCCAAGCACAATTCAGGTTGACAATTCAGTTCACTGTGACTACTGTGAAAACAAGTATAAATATTAACAAGGACTGTTGTTAAGTGCCATCGAGTCAGTTCTGACTCACGGAGACCCTCTATGGGGCTTCCGAGGAGCGATTGGTGGGTTTGAACTGCCAACCTTGCAGTTAGCAGTCCAGGGCTTATCCTATAGCATCCCAGCATGCCTCCAGATATATATAGTCAGTGTACAATGTTGATGTTATTGTCCAGTTCCAATGGGTCAGTTCTGACTCATAGTGATCCTGAATAGGTTTTTTCTAAGGAGTGGCTCATGAGTTTCAATCACCAACCTTGCAGTTAGCAGTGAAGTGCTTATCCTACAGTGCCTCAAATAAACTGTTGAGCAGAAAAAATCATGGTATAGCGGTGAAAACTGCTGGCTTTCAAGAAAGACTGACTGAAAGCTTGAGTCCCACCAGAATCATATTTGTATTTCGCTCTGTGGTCCGAGGCAAAAATCCCTTTCTGTCCCTAATTTCCTCATCTATGATATTCAGATAATAAAAGTCCTAACCTCAGAGGGCTGTTGTAAAAATTAAGTGACTAAGCAAATATAAAAGCTCTCAGACTAGTAAAATCATGAAGATAATTTCAGATGTAATTTTTCCAAATAATCACTACACATGACATGCTTTTATAATCTACTGAGAAAACTGGTTCCTTTTAAGGATCTGTTTCCTAGATAAGAAACTCTCAGCAAACATTCACCCATAATTCCCTGGTGGTGGGAAACGTGATTATAAATGCAGCATACTAACCTGAATGAATCACTGAAATATATCCCACTCCCAAGATTGCCAATGTCTGTTCGTTTCACGCCTTGATCTTCAACCACTTTGGGTAAAAGTAGCCCTCTGAAAAGAAAATGATGATTTACTAGGGGGGAAAAAAATCATCTGTTAGCACAGCCTTTAACTGAGACAGGTGCTGTTTAAAACACTTGAAATGAAAAGAAAAAAAGGATCTTAACACAGAGGGAGTTCTAGGTGCTATCAAAATGTAGCGAGCTCTAGCTGGCTTCTCAACACCATCTTGACCAGCTGTTGGCTGCATTTTTTCTGCCTTTGGGCTCTACCCCAGGCTCGGTTTCAATCCAAACCCTCCCGCCCCACTCCAGTTTGCAGCAGGACAATGCTTTAAGCCTAAGACTGCCTGTGTCTTCCCCTTGCTCAAGATCTTATACAGATCCTTCTGGGGCTTCTAGTCTTCAAAGAACACTCTGCAATCAAACTGTAGGCCATGGTTATCTCTGGGAAGATGGAGAAAGGAGGCTTCCACTTGTTACTACATAAACATCTATTGTTTGAATTGTATAGTATGAAATTGAATTAATTTTGCAAAATGTAAAGCAAAATGAGTATCAAACTAATTTTTAATTAGAAATGTTTTCTGTGATTATGCCAGCTTCCCTTCTGACATGGCTCCTTTTGTCACATCAAACTTCTCGACCGACCCTATTTCTGTGGTTTTGCTCCTGTTGTGTCTCACCATCAATGCCTTAGTCATCACTTCTTCAAGACCGTCAGTTATTACAGACGTCATCTCTGGTGCTCCCCTAACCTACCACGTGCACAATGGTGGTGCAGGTGGTGGTGGTGTGGTGTAGAGTCAGTTCTGACTCTTAGTGACCTTGTGTAGAGTTTCCAAGGCAGTAAATCTCTTTGGGAGCAGAAAGCCTCATCTTTCTTCCAAGGAGCAGCTGGTAGATTCAATCTGCTGATCTTTTGGTTAGCAGCCCAACATGTAACTACTCCACTCAGTGCTCCTTATTGCAATTCAATCATAATTCAAATGTAATGTTCTTGTGTTATAGGAAAGTCTACCTTTATTTACAAAAGTACACTGACAATAAACATTTCTATTTGATATACAAGGGGGCTTCAAAAAGTTTGTGGAAAACTTTCATTATCTTTTTATCCCGTGTATCTATAGTCTTTCTGAAGTGCCCTCATATATACCATATGCTACCAACTGACTTGCTTAAAAAGAAATAAAACCTTTCTCTGTATGAGAATGCCTTGGGGTTTATCTATGTCCTTCTTCCTATGTGACTGTGATTTTTTTCCTACTTGTTACTTGTCTGTATCTTTTCTTTCTACCAGGTTATAGTTTCCTAGAGGGCAGAGACCGAGGGCTGGATTCCTTTTGATGGTTTCCGGAGCAGTGGTCCACTGAAACTACTCTAGAAACCATGGAGATGGAAGGCAGGTTTACTGAGTCCCTGAGAATGCCCCCAACATCTAAATAGAGGGACTCTGGCCTGTCCAACATTTCCATCAATGCTTTAGCGAGGACACAGAAGGCATGCACATCAAAATACAAACAACTTTAAGCTGATAGAGATGTGTACACCCATCTGTATGAGTGGTACCTCACTGCTGTAATTAATGTAAATTCATTAAATGTTTTGACATCTGATTGGTTATCCCTCCCTCATTAGTCTTTTTTTTCAGCATCATCCAATTTTTAAAAACTATGCACTGTAGAATCAGATTTTTATTTATTTTTTTAAAATCTTGCTACTATTACTGTGATACCTCTAAATCAATACATTAATTTGAGAAAAATGGACACCATTCAGATTAAGGCAGCTGTCTTTTGGGTCCCTCAATAGTAGTTTAAAGTTTTCTCCGGATAGATCTTGTAAGTTTCTTTCTTTCTAAGTTTCTTCAGTATTTAACTAAGGATCTAAATGTAACCATATCTTCCCTAGACCCGCCGTGACTTCAGTCTCAGTCCTAAGTGGCTATACAAAGCAACCAAAAAATTAGATTATCATTTTTTAAATAGATAAATCACACAATCTGGACACTCTAATTTCTAAACCTTTCTCTTTAAGCACCTGGCAATTCCTAGATTAGATGCATATGGAGAATCGTGTAATAAAGAGTCATTTGTCTTCATATTTTACTTTCTCAATAGAATATTCATACCCACATAAGGCACTTAAAATATTAAATAATAAATCCGTAATTTACACTGCATAATTTTCTTCAGACTCCAGTAAGACTCATTTTAAATGAAAAGATTCATAAAGTATAGAAAGACAGTAAACCACTTCACATTTGTGAGGATAAAGTATTGGAAAACAAAATGGCATACTCTTACCGGGATAGAATTCCTACAATGTTTCGCACTGGCGATCCATGCAATAAGGACTTCACATTGCCAAGTTTGCTCAAAAATTCTGTGGTTTCATTCACTCTCCCAACTCGGTATATTTGTAGGATGTCCACTGGACTTTTACTATGAAAATTAGGGAGAAAAATCCAAGGGTTTGCCTGAATTAAATGAGATGACTGCCAAACTTCAGTTCTCCCTCCTCAGAGTGTGAAGACATCGTTTTCCTTCCCTCTGACTCTCTGAAGAGTTCTCCCCCTCCTGTTTCTGCCTTAATTTATATTGTTGTTGTTGTTGTTTAGTGCCATTGAATCAGTTCCGCCTCATAGTGACCTTGTGTAGGGTTTCTGAGGAGTAGCTGGTGGGTTTGAGCTGCTGACCTTGTGGCTCAAACTGACCTTGTAGTCCAGTGCTTATCTTACCAGGACTCAGAGCCCACAAAACCATTTGGGAGAGGGTCAAAAGTTAAGTCAAAAGGATCCGATAATATAAAAGGAAATTTTGAGAAAAGTCTGGGGGAATATGTTTTGAAGATGACTGGCCAAGGAAAGCTGAACAAAATTTTACTAGATTTGAATTAGTTGTTGCGTACCACCGAGTTAGTTCTTACTCCTAGTGACCCTGTGTGAGGTTTCTGAGGCTGTAAATCTTTGTAGGAGCAGAAAACTTCATCTTTCTCCCATGGAGAGGCTGGTGGGTTCGAACTGCTGACCTTGTGATTATGCAGTCCAGTGCTTATCCTACAGATCCATTGAGCTCTCCAGTTATCCTGCTACTGATAGTTAAATGATTAGGTAACTGTGACGAACCAGTTGTGGGTTAATGTGCTGGACTGTAAAGCTGAGTTCAAGTTCACCAGCTGCTCCTTGGAAACTCTATACAGGGTCGCTATGGGTCAGAACCAAATTGATGGCACTTAACAACAAACAACAATGACAGGTCACTACATAATGATAGGAATCCTCATGTGGCACAGCACACTGGACCACAAAGTCAGCGGTTCAAACTCACCAGTTGCGCCTTGGAAATCCTAGACAAGGTTGCTATGAGTTGGAACAGACTCGGCAACACTTGACAACAGCATTGATAGACCATGTTTCTTTTTATGCTTACCTCTGATTATTCTTCAAGATCTGTTTTTTAATACTGAAAAATTCTTCAGTGTCCTGCTCAACATGCTCAATTTTGCATCTCAAAGCTCGATATTTGGCAAGAGATGGTGGGTTGGGTTTTGACAAATTAGTTTCACAGACATTTACCATGTCTCTTATTAGCTGTAGACAATAATGATACACAGATGTTAGGATCAACATAAATCAAAACTAATACTCACATTGCATTAAGACTTTATCAAAAACTTCGGAAAAATGAAGGTTTCCCCCCAAACTGTTGACAGGATCTGCCTGTACTGCTAGTGCCATATTATAGGTGATTTAATTCCTCTCAGCATAATCTATGATAATATACATCAGGAGAACACACAGTGTTTTCAAACACATCATTTAATTTAATCCTTACTTCAACACTGTGAGATAGGTGTTATAATCCTTATAGTAAAGGAAGGAAAGTGCGCTCTGAGAAGTTAATGGACTCTCGACTAAATGGAAACTCAGATCACCAGGTTTCATGTTCAGTATTGTGTAATACAAATGCATGAAGCATGTTCTGTAAGCCAAGCATTGTATTTGGCTTGAAAGGTATGAAGATGAGTAAGACATGGGTCCAAATGACCCAAGTATATCAAATCATTGAAAAATGGTATTTGCAACGAAGAAATCATAGATCTTGCAAAATTCTATCATGTGATCACCAGCATTTTTTCTAATACCAGGGTCATATTTTCAACCACGATCCTTCCTCTTTGTTTCCAACGTCCGCATTCCAATCACTGGTAGTTATCAATGCATCTTGATTATATGTTTGATCAATTTCAGACTGAAGAAGTTGGTAGAATTCTTCAATTTTTTCATCCGTGGCTTTGGTAAAATACAGGGTCAGCAAAAAAGAGGAAGACCCTCAAAGAGATGGACTGACACAGTTGCTACAACAATTGGCTCATATGTAGCAACAACTGTGGGCTGGGGCAAGACTGGGAGTGTTTCATTCTGTTGTACACAGGGTCACAATGAGTCGCAACCAACTCTACAGTATCCAACACAACACAATTCATTGTGGCATTGCTTGGAGTAGCAAAATGTGGAAACCCAAATGTCTGACAATAGGGAACATCCACACAATATGGATAGTAGGATCCACAGTAGGATAGTAGAATGAAGATGACTTCTATGCACAAAATATATTAATGGAAGAAAGCAATGTACAAAACAGCAAGTATACCATATATATGTAAAAAAGAAAGGAGAAATTAAAATACATGCTCATATTTCTATTTCTTTGCATAAAGAAACAGTGCAAAGACAAATAAACTAATAAAAATGTCAATTTATTGGGGGATTAGGGAAATGGCCGGTTACAAGGGCTAAGGGTAGAATACACACTTGTCCAAGTACATCTTTGAGAAGTACATAATTTTGACTTTTCAGTCAGGCAGATGCATTACCTACTCAAAATATAAACTTGAAAAGTATTTGCTTGGACATTTGCCATCCCCTCTCAATAACAAAGCTAGTGACTGGGTCTCGTTATGATGTGCATTAGGCAATTAAGGACAATAGGAGATAATAAACATTTATGGAATTTTAAGTCAGGAATGGACCACTATCATCTCATTTGCTAGTTCATTTACTGGTTTTAACTTTTCTTGGATTACATACTCCTTTGGAAATCCATTGAAAGCTATGGTTTCCTCCAAACATGCAAACTTTTCATCTACAATCTCCTCTGAAGTCTAGGTTACGTACTGAATATCTTGCCCCAATCCCTTCATGCACAGAAGAGGCAACTCAGACCCAGAGAATGACTTCTGCTTTGAGTAAGACAGTGGTGGACACTACAGCTACCTAATCCAACATCGACCTCCCCTTCCCCTTCTCTAACAAGATCCCTAGTCTTTTCAGGTATCTGTCCTTCTCTGTAAGAATCAGGGACCCATAGCCAGGTTTTAGTCAATCCTGTAACTCCATTCTCCTGTCAGCAAATGACTCAGGAATGGACACATGACTCAATTCTGAACAAAGTCAGGGAGTCTGCTGGGGAGGGGCACCCTGTAACAGACACAAAAAGAATTGTTACTGTGAACTATTACAACACAAGGTGCTCATGAGGGGAGCCAGGCTGAGAGTGAAGCTGCCGGTTCAATGGACGAACACAGAGATGGAACGAAGCTGGGACCTTGAAGGTTCCATTAACTCTGAATGGAATGAGCCAGCAGCCCCCTACATCCATACTTCTTACTATGTAGCAAAATAAAAGTCCTACTGAGTTGTGGATTTCCATTCTTTTGCAGACAGAAGCCTAACTCATTTCATTCTCAAGAAAATTATTTCACAGTGTAGCAAAAGAGTTCTGGTAGCACAGTGGATTATGAATGGAGCTTCTAAGCACAAGGTTAGCCGTTTGAATCTACCAGCTGTTCCGTGGGAGAAAGATGAGGCTTTCTGCTCCCGTAAAGATTTACAGCCTCGGAAACCCTGTACAGGGTCACCATGAGTTGGAACCGACTCCACGGCACATAACCACCACTACCACAGTTGTTTATCAGTTCCAAACAACTCTTTACATTCGTAGTATTATGCCAACATATTTACGTTTGGTAATACAGCCTAGAGGACTTGTGCAAGTACCCAAGCATTTTAAAAGGGTTGCTTTTGCATACAACTCAAGAGCCAACTGCACTGACTCAGTGTTACCTTATTCATCAGAATAAGACTCCTAAAAGTATTTTAAATTGAATTACACATTTCAGAGATTTACCTGGCAGAGGTCCTCTTTCTTAGCTAACAGTCTTAGGTTAACTTCTTCAGTTGTTGTACCTTTGTGAGGTATTAATCTGTAGAATTCAGTCATCATTTTTTGCAATTGTTCTGCTGTTTTTCCATTTTTCAGGGCCGTCTTTACTAGAAGGAGAATGCCCTCTGCCTTGCTCACCTTTCAATATAAGATGATACAAAATCATTAACATTAAATCAGAGTGAAATATCTAAAACAATTCTTAGACATGTTACAACTATCAGTTTGCCAAAAACAAATGCTGATCTTTACTATAGATGTTTCTCAATGGTGAAGGTGATGCCATGAAGATTCTTCCAGAACTTATCTCAGCTTAACCAGAGGAAAAAAACATTCTTATACATGTAGACACATATGGACATATTATCAGGAAGGATTGGTCCCTGGAGAAGGACATCACACTTGGTAAAATAGAGGGGGGCAGCATAAAAGAGGGAGGCCCCCAACAAGATGGACTGGCACAGTGGCAGCAGATTTGGGCTCAAATGTAGCAACAATTGTGAGGTTGGTGCCGGATCAGCCAGTGCTTGTTCTGTTGTGCATAAGGTCAGTATGAGTCAGAACCAACTCCAGGGCACCTAACAACAACAGTGGATATAGAAAAAAAACAAAAAAAACAAAAACACCTATACAAAGAGATAATCGATGTATTCATTTGTTGTGGTTAACTGCTGTGGAGTCAGTTCTGACTCATAGCGACCCTGTATAGGGTTTCCAAGGAGCAGCTGGAAGGTTTGACCCATGGACCTTGGGGTTAGTAGTCAAGGGCTTATCCTATGGTGCCATACCAGGACTCACGCATATATATACAGGAGTCCTGGTATGATGTTGTGGGATAAGCACTAGATTGCAAGGTTGGTTTGAACCACAAGGTCAGCAGTTCAAACCCACCAGCCACTCCTTGGAAACCCTATACATGGTTGCTATGAATCAGAACTGACTCCATGGCACTGAACGACAACAACAACAAAAAAATCCACCCTACAGCCCTGATCTTGTCCCTTCCGATTTCTATTTGTTCCCCAAACTCAACACTGAAAAAGAATACAAACAAGAATTCTGACATGGTGTAAATCAAAAAGCACAGAATTCTTTGGGGACAGGCTAGAGAGATGAGAACACCCACTTCAGATGTATCAACTTGGAGAATATGTGGAAAAACAATAGCTTCACATTTTGATATTTTTGTTTAATAAAAATTTCTGTGGTCAAAATACATTTTGATTTACCCTTTCAGAGAAAGAGCAAGACAGACAGACAGACAGGAATGCTATTGCAAGAGACTCACGTTTGACATAAGGAATTTAGAAAGATGTCAGAATTGAACTAGGAACAAAAACCCTCCAGAAGATGTTTCTAATTACACATTTACTTTACGGGCTTCAACCTAGGAAAACCTTTTCTCCATGAAATAAACTAGCTAAATTGCACACAGGAATTTGTCTATACTGTTTTTGTTTTATTTTTTTTTAATTTATGTCTGTACTGTTTTAATATGACAATGCAATTCACAAGCTGTACCACTGGGAATATTTTCTTTCATTTGCTCCTTCAAATGCAAATTGACATCATCAGATGTATTTTCTGGTGGGTGGGAAGCATACCAAGGTGCCCTGGAATGGGTTAAGCTTTGGACTGCTATCCAAAGAAGATGAAGCAATATACTTCCATAAAGATTTACCACCTCGGAAACCTCAGGGAGTACATCTACTGGGTCCTATGTTGTTGTGGTTGTTAAGTGCTGTTAAGTCGGTTCCAGCTCATAGTGACCCTGTATTAGATTTCCGAGGCTTTAAATCTTCACAGGAGCAGAAAGGCCTATTTTTCTCCTGTGAAGAGGGTGGCGAGCTCGAACCATGAACCGAACCGTAAGTTCATCATTGACTCGGCAGCATTGGGGTTGCTCTACGGGTAGGAAACATACTTGCATTTCCCAAAGAAGTCAGAAGTTACAAGCCTCTAAAGTTGTTGGCTATGAAAAAGGTTAAGATTTGGTCAATAACTGACGACCAGAACCATCCCCATCCCTTAGGCACATTAGTTAGCCCCCTGACCTAGAGGCTCAAACTTCATAGTTCGTTGTTGGTAAGTGTCATAGTTCTGACTCATAACAAACCCTGTGTAGGGTTTCTGAGGAGCAGTTGGTGGGTTTGAACCACCAACCTTGTGGTTAGCCGTCTAGTGCTTATCCTACATCACCATTAACTAGCAGTAAAGCGCTACTCTGATTAGCTCAGGTGTCTGAGCATTGTACAGACAAGAATGTCTAGTTTTCTTGAAAGCTTATTTTCCACGAGTGTTCTCTTGCGCTCCTTTCATCCAGGTGAAAGGGAAGAACAGTCAGTCACGAACTCAACTTGACGAGCACCAAGCCGTAAGTATAGTTATTTAAGCTAATGAACCCGGAAGCAGGCTGTTGGAGAGTCTATTTCAAGGACGTCATTACTTACATCATTAAGACTAATTGTGTTCACTGGTTTCAGAAGTGTGTGCTCCAGGTGACCAAGAGTTTCTGTCCAAATCATCTCCACCAAATCACTCACCTCTTGGCTCAGAGTATTTGAATTTATTACCTCCTCCAAAAGCAACTATAGCAACAAAAAACAAATCAACAAAAAGTAATCATGGAATAAATGCTATCAGGACTGACTGAGAGGGTTGGAAATGTAAAGGTAGACATTTTATAACAAAAGGAGGGGGAGCGGTTAACTTTGCAGTCCAGGAGCAGAGGTCCCTGGGACCATCAAGGGAGCTGAATGCGGGACCCTACCCAGAGAAACAGTGACGCCAGAGATGGAGGCAGAAACAATGACATGGAGAGATGGAGCAGCTGGGGACTTTAGACCCAGAGAGGGAGAGGGGCTGTGTGCTGATGACCTGGGGGGACGGGGGCAGGGAAGGCTTGCAGGGTATACCCTTTGGTTGGTTGATGATGCATGGAGGGGATTGGGGGATTGTAACCATGGCAATGAAATGATATACGATAGGATGAATGTAAACTATGTATAACATTATAAAGAACAGGAATTCACTAACACTTAATTGTGCTTATGCAGAACCTAGAGGCAGTCCTTTGAATAGCACCAGGAGAACTGAGTAGTTTAAAATCAGTAAAGGTGTGTGGCAGGGTTGTATTCTTTCACCACACTTACTTAGTCTGTAACTGAGCAAATAATCTGAGAAGAGAAGCTGGAGTAGAAGAAGGGTGCAGCATCAGGATTGGAGGCTGATTGATTAAGAGTCTGAGAAATGCAAATGACACAATCTTACTGAAAAAGAAGACTCGAAGCACTTACTAATGAAGATTAGACTACAACTTTCATTATGGATGTATAAACAACCTGCAGCGTCTACAAACAGTGGCATATCACTCAGCTATAAAAAGGAATGAAGTTTCTGATATACGTCACAACCTAGATGAACCCTGAGAACATTATGTGGAGCGAAGTCTGTAGTCACAAAAGGAATAATGACAAACACTGTGTAATCTCGCTTCTATAAAATAGCAAATGTATAGAAACCCCAAGATTATTAGTGGTTATCAGAGGTGGGAGAAGGGGGAAAGGAGAAGCTATTGCTTGGGAGAGTGAGTTTATGTTAATGATGGTGAATGATTTGGTAAAGGAGTGTAAAAATGATGGCAAAACCTGAAGAATGTCAATGAATTATATGAGGGGGCTTCAAAAAGTTCGTGGACCATTTTCATTATCTTTTAATTCCATTTTTCCACAAACTTTTTGAAGCCCCCTCACACATATAGGAATTGTTGAATAGGTATGTTTTGTTTTGTTGTGTATACTTTCCCAGCACACACATCAAAAAAAACCCGCTAAATCAGGAACACAAAATTATCAAAGCCAGAAGAACAAACACACAGAAACTAATCTTACTGCTTGCAGTTTTTCAGATGCTAATTGGGTCGCTTCCAGTGTAAAATTTTCTCTTAACAGAAATCCTTGTTTCTTCAGTTCTTCGATGTAATTTTCATAGCACTCACTTGCAGCTACTGAAGTTTTCTTTCCAGAGATCTGTTTTCTAGTCTGTGAATTACATAATATAGCAAAGTCTTAGGATATGGATGTACCACTCACCTGCCAATGTTTACTGAATACACATTATGTACCATGAGGGAACAGAAACATAAATAAGGCATTAGATCCCTGCCACGAAGGAGTTTAGAAACTTCTTGACTTCTTGGTTCCTGCCCCCCTTGTAATTACTTAGCACTCTTGGTGGAGTGCTGCAGGTTAATGCGCTGGACTGCAAGGTCGGTTTAACTGCAAGGTCAGTGGTTCGAGTTCACCAGCCGCTCTTTGGAATCCTCGTACAGGGTCACTATGGGTCGGAACCAACTGAACAGCACTTAACAACAACAACCAATAATTACTTAAGCCTTCAGTTCTTCACACAACAGCTGAAAACCCAAAAGTAAGCTGGGAGGATGGCTGGATTGAGCAGACGGAAGACAGAAAAGAGCTACTTGACGCACTGTAGTCACTTGGAGTTCATTCAGAGCCCACACGTTCTCACCTCACAGAGCATTCTAATAAGCTTTGAAGTCTGCCTTTGTAGGTGTTGCAAGATGACAAAAACAAATTAGAGGAGATGAAAACATACTGCAAAAAAAGGAGGTATTGCTAGAGAAATACACAGTCAAATAGAAGGACTGGGAAGGAAAAGCAGGTATGCAGTTCTCTCGAGAGGCACAGACAGCCCACACCTCTGCCCCTGCACTCCAGCCTGCCTACAGACGTGACACTCCACTCTTCTGAACCCCTTGCCCCTGCATGGCCACGTGTCCTACCAGTAACACCAGGAGCTGGCTGTGCAGCCCAAGGGGTATGGTGACCTTTCACACAGTGTGGTCAAGTGTCTCCATTAAGAAGATAACATTAAATGAGAAACAAAATTCTCATACATTCTATATTCTGCCATGATTTTCAACTTGATTTTTATCTACTTTTTACCCCAAATGTGACCCATGAATTAACTTTGTAGCTCTAGTTCAATCAAAGCCTGATACAGGTTGGGATGGCAACTGAAATTAAGCAAAACTGCATAATATTGACCTCTAAATAGCACACTGCATCTGGACTGGGAGTTTATGAATGAATGATAAACACCTGGTAAGGAACCTTAGCTGTGGATTTCCCTGGGAGTGGTGACCCCTATGACTGGACATGTCCCTTAAGGACACCTGGAATGCATGCCTCTATTGCAAGAGATAAGGAGCTCTGGTAGCATAGTGGGGTGCTAACCTCAAGATCAACAGTTAGAAACAACAGTTAGAAAGATGATGCTTTCTGCTCCTGTGAAGATTTACAGCCTCAGAAAGCATGTTCAGGGTCACTCTGAGTCAGAACCAACTCCATGGCACAAAGTCAACCAAGTACAAGAGGTATTGGCTCCTGCGAGGCAGGGCTTCTAAGCCAGTAGGGATGCCATGCCCACCTAATGGAAGTCTCCTTTCCTTTCTATCTGGGCTGACACCAAGGGCAGGAACCTGGGAGGACCACTCCCACTGAAGAAAATGCCTTCTGTTGCCTGTACTCTTCTAGTTCCAGTGTGGCCCATAGGAGAACTATAAGTCTGAATGTCTAGTTTAGAAGACACCATAGTGGGCACTGAAGCATTTTAGTTACACTTTGGGTATGAATTATGAATCCATTTTTGTTTCATAATTATTTTAGAGTAGAACTGTGCTCTTTACTTTTTAAAAAACTGTTAATTGTGAATTGAGTGAAGGTTTACAGACAAGATCATCGGTTTACATTCAACAAATCATAGACATTGCTCCAATTCAGTGATTTCAATCCCCTCCACGAAACAATGGTTCCTATTTCCATTCTAACCTTCTTCCCATCCCTTCTCAACTTTGTTTTTAGGTAAATGTTGCCCTTGTGATTTGGAATGACTGGTCATTCTATGAGGAGCACACCTTATTAGTATTATTGTCCTCCCTAGATACCTATCTAGCGCTTAGCTTTAAATTTGGCTTTCCAGACCTGAAGGGTGGTCAAGGGTCAGTGCTGGTTCCTCCAGTTCTCTGCGCTCTTGATTTGAGAGCCTCCTCAAAGCCTTCACTTTTATAGGTTGTCTGTGACTCCTGAGCCCATAGCTGTAGCTGTCAGGTGCCACAGAGTCAGTTCTGACTCATAGAGTTCTACGCACAACAGAACAAAATACTGCCCGGTCCTGAGCCACCCGCACAATCCTTGCTAAACTTGAACCCACTGCTGCTGCCACTGTGCCAATCCAGCTCATTAAGGGTCTTCCTGCAGCGTTCTCACAACTGTAATGCTTGAGCCTGTTGTTGCTCCATTGTGGCAGTCCATCTCATTGGCTGTCTTCCTTGTTTTCTGACCCTCCACTTTACCAAGCATGATGTCCTTCTCCAGGGGCTGGTCCCTCCTGATAGTATGTCCAAAGTGTGAGGGACAAAGTCTCCCCATTCTGATTTCTAAGGCACATTCTAGCCATCCATGGTACTTTTCATACTCTCCTCCAACACCACAACTCAAATGCATCACTTCTTCTATGATCTTCCTTATTCACTGTCCAACTTTCACAAGCTACTGAAAATACCATGGTTTGGGTCAGGGACACTTTAGTCCTGAAACTGACATTTTTGCTCTTGAATACTTTAAAGAGATCTTGTGCAGCAGATTTGCTTAATGCAATATGTTGTTTGATTTCTTGACTGCTGCTTTTGATTTTGAGTGATTGACCATTCCATGGTGAGCATACCTACTAGAGTTGCTGCCCACGCCCCCCCAAAAAAAGTATCTACTGCTTGCAAACCCACAGTATTTTCACAATCACAGATCATTATTAATGCTTTAGTTTCCTTCCAGATGGTAACTTCTGAAGGTCAGGGTGTGAAATATGTTGTATCTTTGCATCCTGGCACATAATAGATTGTTAGGCATATTGTTGTTGTTGTTAGGTGCCATTGAGTAGGTACCAACTCATAGCGACCCTATGCATAGCAGTACAAAACACTGCCTAATCCTGGGCCAATCTCACTACTGTTGCCACACTTGAGTGCATTGATGCTGCCACTTGGCCAATCCATCTCGTTGGGGATCTTCCTCTTTTTCTCTGACCCTCCATCTTACCAAACATGATATCCTTCTCCAGCAACTGGTCCCTCCTGACAACAAGTCCGAAGTATGAGAGACGAAGTTTAGCCATCTTGGCCTCCAAGGAGCACTCTGGCTGCTTAATACAGTATGCAAAGTCAATTGCTTTTGGAGATGTACATAGAAGAGTATTTTGTAAATGATTTGGAAAATGTGATGAGCCCTCTATCCCCTTCATCAGGGAAGGGTTTCCTATGAAGAGACCCCCAGCCATCCATTTAGGGTAAAGCATTCACATCCTGCAAACTCCAAAACAGAATACATTTCCTCTTTCCAAAGTGATTCACTAGGTAAACTAATTGGTTTGTTAATGAACACTGTTAAGGAACCTAATTATGGTCAAGAGTGGCCAGACATGTAGGAATCAATACACAGATCAATACCTTGCTGCCATCGTCCAGGAGGAAGGATGAGGTTATTAGAAAAGGCCAGTCCTTGCGTTCTAGGAAGCACCGCAGTTCTACCACTACAATTTCCTTCCCGCCCTCTGTCCCAATCTGGAAAAAAAAGACACTAGGTTATAAATTGCTTTGGTTCAATAACCAACTACACACACCATTCAAAACGTAGACTGTGAAAGTAATATAGGCTAATCTGGAAATATAGTTTACAAAGTACAGAAAAGTATAAAAAAATAAAGTCATCTGACACTCCACTTTAAGATAGTCACTTCATAGTTTGGTATAGTTTCCTCATGTATATTTATGCCATAAGGCGCTCTGGTAACGTTGTGGTTACGAACTGGGCTACAAACTGCAAGGTCAACAGTTCGAAACTACCAGCTGCTCCGCAGGAGAAAGATGAGGCTTTCTGCTCCTGTAAAGATTTACAGCCTCAGAAACCCTGTACAGGGTCACTATGAATTGGAACCGACTCGACAGCACTTAACAATAACAACATATTTATGCCACAGATATATCTGTATATGTTTAAACATTGTCACTTTTCAAGCTTTATCACAGAAGAAAATGCTATTTTCAAATTACATTTTGTTTATTAAAACCTATGAAAAATACTAATGGAGTTTCATTTGGAACTCTAGTATTGATTTTAATTTGTATAAAGCCAGAGAAAAAGTCTTTGCTTTCTTTTTAAATGCAAAAGCAGTGGAAATTTAATACTACATAAGTACTTGGTATCTAATTTGCAATTTTTAAATACAGGAAACTATTCATCACAGGGAGAAATGTTATTTTTAATGTTGTATTAATAATCTGTACTGTTCAAATTTTATTATAAGCATGCATTACCTAATTAATCAAAACACTGAAAAATTAGACATTACATTTAAAATGTAAAAATTTTCTTGACTTAAAAATCAACTCATAGAATATGAAATTTTTATTCAGAACATACATATATTTTGAAACAATGAGAAAATTACTGGACAGGAAAACACCCACATTTCTTTTTCTCAAATAGAAATTTAACTCTTACCTTTTCCAAGGTGTTATATTTTGCAACTTCAAATTCTCCAGGAAAATGAGGAATTTCAATATTCTCTGTATAAAACCTAAAATTTGTATAATCAAAATTTTACCATTAAAGGGGATTTTTACACCAAATAGAATTTTCACAGACCTTTTCTTGAAGAGCTCCTAATTCCTTACAAAATATGCTAAGAGTCTTTGCTAAATGTTAGATATTCTAACAGTGAGGTGGTCTGATGTCCCTATCTGATTCTAAGGCTCTCGTTCCAAGCCCTGTGATTGTCTGCACTGGATGAAGAGACCCTAGAGAGCAGACGCAGGAGATGTAAATGTAAGAGGTCAGCAGACTGGAGAAAGTGCCACACAGAGATGTGTGCTGCCGGGCTTCAGCCGAGAGATAAAGACAAGACACCACCACTTGCTGCTGCTGGTGGTGGTTATGTGCTGTGGAGTCACTTCCGACTCACAGAGACCTTAAATAGGGTTTCCAAGACTGTAAATCTTTATGGGAGCAGAAAGCCTCATATTCCTCCCACAGAATAGCTGGTAGTGTCGAATTGCTAACCTTAAGGTTAGCAACCTGACTCGTAAGCACTATGCTAACTCCCTTCCAAAGAAATGGGCCAGCTTTTTCATCAATTCATACGTTTTATTCAGGATTTTTACTTTTCTTATAACACTACTATTAACAAATAAGTTAATTTCCAATGTGGTGCCTAATTAGCAGCTGTTGTCTGAGGTATGCCTTAAGTAACCACATAGAACTTGAAACTCACAGCTTGATAGACAGTTATTGTTATTTCCGCTTTTGAAAATATCAAAGACAAGTGATTAGCATCTTTACTACTAAAGACTTTGTTGCTCAGTAAGGTAACACAGTCAGTTGTTGTTGTTGTATGCTGTGGAGTCGGTTCCAACTCATAGCGACCTTGTACAGGGTTTCCGAGGCTGTAAATCTTTATGGGAGCAGAAAGCCTCATCTTTTTCCTGTGGAACAGCTGGTAGTTTCGAACTGCTGACTTTGCGGTTCACAGCCCTATTCGTAACCACTACGCTACCAGAGCTCCTTAACACAGTGAGTAGGCCTACTAGATCTTTATCTCCAGTGATTTTTCTGTTTTAAAACTCAGCTAATCTAATAATTACATCCAATCTCACAAAATACTGAGAAGCTACAAATAATTATTACTATCATCATTGATGTGCAAGCTCTTAAATAATTAAAATTTCTTAAATAATTAAATAAGCAAAATAAATGAAGACACTATAAAGGTCAATACTAAAAATGCGTATCAATAGTATTTTAATACTATGCTTGTGGTTTCAAACACGTTTACGAACTATAATGTTGTAACAATCAGAAACGGATTACTCTGTGACTTCCACGGTGTTTTCATTCTCTGTGGAACTGTCCAGGGATGCAGCATCTGTTTCCACTCCTAGAATCAAAGCAAAGCAAATACTTGTTTACTGATCAAACATTTACTATGCTCAGTAAATACCTGCTGAAGTTGTAAGGGTTCTTGAATATAGACCATATTTATCATGCTGGTTTGGTTTTTGGGTGTCCTTAAATTAACTAGGATGATATTATTGGGTGTCATGGAGTCCATTTCAACTCACAGGGACTCCATGTGATAGCGTGATGGTGGTGGTTGTATGCTATCCAGTTGGTTCGGACTCACAGAGACCCTGTATCCGGCCTCTGAGGCTGTAAATCTGTACGGGAGCATTAAGTCTCATCTTTCTCTTGGGGAGCATCTGGTGGATTCGAACTGCTGACCTTGTGGTTAGCAGTCTAATGCCTAGTCCACTACACCACCAAGGCTTCTTCATATGACAAAGTAGAATTGCTCTATAAGCCTTTCTTAACTGTAATCTTCATGGAGGCAGGCTGCCAGGTTTTTCTCTCATAGATTCACTGAGTGGGCTCAAACTGTGAACCTTTCAGTTAGCAGCCAAGCACTTAACCATTGCATCACCAGGGTTCCTTAAATGAACTATAGTTATTGGTAACCCAAAGGCGATATAAGTGAGAACAGAGAAAGGTGTATAAGATGGAGATAACATACAATAATTCTATGTTAATATGCATATGAGGGAAATTTTCTCTACTGTAATCTGTATTATTTGAAATTCATTGATAGACATAAAATCTTTGAGTGGCATTTTCCTCTCGTGAAGATTAAGATAAACACATTATGAAATGCATTTTGCATACACTGCAAGGTCTGCATGAGGTTCCAAGTGCCCTGTCACAGAGGAAGGGAGCTGGAAACTCCAGGGTCACAGAAGGGAAATTCAAGGGCTTCTGTGCGTGGCTGGACACTTCGTGTCTTCTATGGTTCTTATCTACAGCGTTAAGGTACATAGGAATAACTCTTTATTTCCATTTTTCATTATAGCTTTGATTTCAAAGATTTGCAATGAAAGGAGTCTCATCCTCCCCCACTTCTCCTTTGTCTGCCCTTCATTGCAACAGCAAGAAAGTACAACGGCTCTATCCGCCTCCTAGGGTTGGTCTAAAAAAGGAATCATCAAAATGTTATTTATTATACTAACTGATGTTGCTGTTGCTAAAGTGCCCTCAAGTAGGTTCCGACTCATAACAACCCTGTAGAGGGTTTCAGAGGAGTTGCTAGTGATCTCGCCGTCCAGTGCTGATCTTACAGCGCCTAACTCATAGCAAATCTATATACGTTTCTGAGAAGCAGCTGGTGAACTTGAACCACCGACCTTGCAGTTCAAACAGACGTTGTAGTCCAACGCATTAGTCCACAGTGCCACCCCAGGATTCCATATCCATATTCAACATACAGCATGTGCCTGATACAAATTAGTATTTATCAGAATTGCTTGACATTTGATCCAAACTGTGAGACAAGTATTTCTCTATAGCCAAAAGCTTTCTTCTTGGTCAGATTCCAAAGTAAAATCCAAATTTATACAAGAGATGTTGCTTCTGGAGAGATCATATTTTTGTTGTTGTTGTTGTCTTTTTAAAAAAACAACAACACTGTGTTATTGTGAATTATGTGATAATTTACATGGGAGGACACCAGTTCTACACTCATCCTACACTGCCATGGCTACAATCCCCTCCATGCATCATCAACCAACCAAAGGGTAGACCCCACAAACCTGCCCCCGAGTTGTCAGCACACGGCCCCTCTCCCTCTCTGGGTCTAAAGTCCCCAGCCACTCCATCTCTCCACGTCATCGTCTCTGCCCCATCTCTGGCGTCACTGTTTCTCTGGGTAGGGTCCCACACTCCGCTCTTCTCCCTTGATGGTCCCAGGGACCTCCGCTCCCTGGCCTGCAAAGTCAACCACTTCCTTCCTTTTGCTACAAAATGTCTACCTTTACATTTCCAACCCTCACAATCAGTCCTGATAACAATTATTCACTATTGTATCCCAAGAGACCTACCCCTGACTCCTTTCATCAGCCCCACCCTGACAGACTGGATTCTACTCAGTGGAGAGTCTACCTACCTCCACACCCTCTGGATCCCTCTTGAAAGCTTGTAAGCCAGTCACTTCTTGCCTTTGTAGCCCCCCCATTTTGGGTAGCCAATGTCCAAGTTGCTCATCCCTGTCTACTCTGTATATGGAGGGTGTGGGAATAATTCTTGCTGTAAAGATTTGTTCCCTCTTTTGAGCTACTGCATCCATCGGTGTAGGTCAAGTTCATCAAACTGTATCAGATTACTCTTTCTTTCCATCTTCTTTCTTCTTCTAGTTGCGTTCTGATCATGCAGCCATTGAAGCCAGGTCAAGTGGGTATTATCTCCAAGTGTCTGTTTTCTTATGCATACGCCCTCTCTTCTTATGAGCTGGATGCTTCACTCTCCACTCTAGTCCTCTGTGGCTATGTCATTGACTGGATAGATCATCTTTTGAAAAGAACTTGTATAGCAAAATATTCTTTGTAAATGTCCACATCTTTCTACAGGAGAAAGATGAGGCTTTTTGTTCCTGTAAACATTATTAAGCTGTGGTTATAAATTTTAACATAAAGCTTTTTTATTTCCCCTTCCCAGTTAAAATTACACCACAAGATTTCTGAAATGATCAATGTTTTTGTAGTAATTTTGAATCTCACCATACTAATCTGGATGCTGAGAAATCTACTTCACTTGATAACATATCATGTTGTCCGTCACGATTTTTGCTGTTTATTTTCTGAGGTAATAGAAGACTAATCAGTTTTGTAGTATTTCTGGATAATCTTTTTTTCTATAATATCTTCAACAATCCAAAATGTTTACTGCAGAACCTTGTGAAGTTGAATTTGATCTCTGCCCTTGGTTTCTGAGAGATAACTTCTAAAACTTTATATTTTCCCCAATGATTGAAGTTCTTTGTGCTTCAGACCACACTGAATAGTCTATGTGACTCATATTGGTGGGAGGGGAGTGGGGGGGCTGGCTATGCCAGAAATACCTACTATGTGCTATCAAACTTGTGATATCAACTCAACTCACAGGAGAGGGGCTGGACTATGAATTACATAATGAGATCTCACTGCAGGATAAGCACTGGACTGCTAATCACAAGGTCAGCAATTCAAGTCCACCAGTCACTCTGTGAGAGACAGAGGAGGCTTTCTGCTCCCACAAAGATTTAAAACTTTGGAAACCCTATACACGGTTGCTATGAGTTGGAACCGACCAGACAGCACCTAACATTAACAGCAATAACAAGACCGTCAATAAAAGCTCAGGCCACGAAACCACCATCGGCTTCCTGGTTGGTAACAGACATCAGTGCTCACGGGATGGGAACCAAGGTAGTGAGCCCCTTTTGGGGACATGAAAGCTTCAGGATGGGAACCTTCCCTGTACATCCCTCCAGTTGTATCATTTTTGCTATAATAAACCTGTAATCATTTCGTTTAGCACTTTCCTGAGGTCTATGAGTCATCCTAGATATAAAATAGTAGGAGTTAGCAGGTAGGAAGTTGGGAGGGGGGTCTGGGAACCCCTGAGCAGATGACTAACCTAAGAGAGTAGTGGAAAAGCCCTGAATTTATAGCCAGTAGCTCAAAAGTGAAGGAGCTCTGGTAGCATAGTGGTTATGAATCGGGCTGCGAACCGCAAGGTCAGCAGTTTGAAACTACCAGCTGCTCCGTGGGAGAAAGATGAGGCTTTCTGCTCCTGCATAAATTTACAGCCTCGGAAACCCTGTACAGGGTCGCTATGAGTTGGAACCGACTCCACAGCACTTAACAACAACAACAACAAGGTCAAAAGTGAGTCCTGGTATGGTGCTATAGTATAAACACTGGACCACAAGGTCGGTTTGAACCACAAGGTCATCGGCTCAAATTCACCAGGTGATACTCAGAAACCCTATACAGGGTCACATATATTGTTTACCTGTCAGCCAAACAAACCCACCCTGGGGGTGGGTTCAGTTCCAGGTTTGAAGGGACACCCTCACTTTTGACCTGTTGTTGTTGTTAAGTGTTGTGAGTCAGCTCTGACTCCTAGTGACCCTCCCTTGTATGGGGCTTCCGAGGAGTGGCTGGTGAGTTTAGCCCAGTAATTATCCTACAGCATCACACGAGGACTTCAAACAATAAATAAGATGTTGTTGTTACATGCCATCGAGTCAGATACAACCCATAGCAACCCTATATAGTTTCCAAGGAGCAGCTGGTGAGCTTGAACTGCCAACCTTGCTGTTCAAAGCAACTTTGCAGTCCAGTGCATTAACCCACAGAGCCACACCAGGACTCCTCAAACAATAAATAGAACTATATAAAATGAATAATAATACTCATGAGGATGTACTCCTCAGAGCAATCAAACATAGGAGACCAAAAGGCCAGCCAGTATTAATGTAGTTACAAACCGGAGAAGACAGGAAGGGACTGGAAAGAAGGGCAAAGGGGAACAGGAAGTAGGAAGAGTGCTGTAACATTGTGTATATACGAGGTTACATTGTATACAAAATGAGTATAAATTGTTAAATGGAAAACTAACTTGCTCTGCAAACCTTTCACCCAAACCACAATAATAAATAAATATAACTTCTTTTTTATAAAAAGTGAGAGCAAGGGAACTCCCAAACTTATGGCTGGTGTCTGGGGTGTTGGGCAGGCTTGACCCTCTGGAAGACTGTGCCCTATAACTTGGGAGGTCTGACCTAGCTCCAGCTGGTGGGGGCCAGAGGAAGAAGCGCTATATATGCAAATGGCATCAGGACAGAAGGGGAACAGAATGGAACGGAATGGAACCGATCCTTACAATTTGGTGTCAGTAGTAAGATTTTATTTTGTTTCCCGCCCCCCTCTTTCGACAGCACACCTGTAATATATTAAGGGCTTACTAGGAAACAAATACTTACCAAAAGTGCTTTCCTTTTGACAAGAAGATAATGTGATGCCCAGTGACTTATTAGGATTGTAATTCTTCACGTCCAAGAGTCTCCTTTCTTTGACAGATTCATGTATAAAATCTGGGTTTACAATATGGATGTGCTTCTCTTGGAAAGATTTTGCTTGATACTGACTCAGGACAACAGCATTGTCTAAGATTATGTGTGTGCACTGTAAATAAAAGAGTGAGCCCATTATGCATTAGTAAAATCACATTTAAATAAATTATTTGTATGTCATTTTCACCCTTAAAAAGTCTTATTTGAATTAACTTGCAATAACTTTTGTCAGATTTCTAAAATAAATAATTTCTAGCTACATAAAAGTTAAAAAACAACTCATGAGTTTTTGAAGAGTATTGCTGTTGTTGTGTGTCATTAAGTCGGTTCAGACTCATAGCAACCCTGTGTAGGGTTTCCAAGGAGCAACTGGTGAGATTGAACCACTGACCTTCTAGTTCAAACTGACCTTGCAGTCCTGCGCATTAACCCACAGTGCCACACCAGGACTCTTTGAATGGTATGGCTGCATTATAATTGATTAGCCAACCCTAGAGTATATTTCCAAAGTTTTACCACTGTAAACAACACTTTAATGAACATTCTCATACATTTATATACATTAACAAAACAATTTCCAAAAAAGTTTACACTCAGTTATGGGAGTTTCTAAAAATTAGAGATTATGTTGGCATTCTTCTCCAAAAAATAAAATGAGAAGTTATAACAGGTACGAATTATTTATTCATCTACAGATAGGGTCATAACAGGGAAGTGAGGGAGAGCATATGAGGGAAATACACAGATGGTCTCCAGATTATGAACGAGTTCAGTTCCTTAATCTGTCTTTAAATTGAATTTGTATGTAGAACAGTTAGGTGTGGTTTATATGTAATGTCAGTTAGTCAAATATTTATCTTAGTTGATAGTGTGTTTTTGTTGTTGTTAAGTGCCGTAGAGTCTGTTCTGACTCATAGCGACCCTGTATAGGGTTTCCAAGGAGTGGATGGGGAACTTGAATTGCCAAACTTTTGGTTCAAACTGACCTTGCAGTCCTGCGCATTAACCCACACCACCACACCAGGTATATAGTATATATAGAAAAAAATTAATGAAAGACTTCCAGATACATTAAAATATCTTTAACATAATACTACAGCAATAATAAAGTTTTTATGCACATCACAAAGTAGAACCAGTTTGTTTTTATGAACCATGGATGGTTGTGTTGCTGCTACGTGCTGTCGAGTCAGTTTCAACTCATAGCGACCCTTTATAGAGTTTCCAAGGAGCAGCTGGTGAGTTTGAACCGCTGACGGCTCAACCCGACCTTGCAGGTTCACAACTACAGATTGTATGTAAATCAGTCATATGTTTGTAATCCGGAGACTGCCTGTATACAATTCTGCCAAACTGGAGGTAAATAGAAACATTCTACCTCCTACATTCGGAGTCCTGGTGTGAGACTGTGGGCTAATGCAGCAGATTGCAAAGTCGTTTGAACTACAAGGTCAGTAGTTCAAGCTCACCAGCTGCTCCATGAGTCGCTATGGGTTGGAATCAACTCGACGGCACTTAACAACAACAACAGCAACCTCCATTGTTCACAGAATAACTACTAGACTTCAGAGAAAAGCCTAGCATGCACCTGGAGCTGAATTTGCTTCACAGGCAATGTGGTTGCCGACATCACCACATCCAGGGCGGGACGCAAGGGTGGAGCAGATGATGAAATCGACTTGACCGATAGAGGGGGAAATCCCCAAGAGTCAGACACCGCAGTTTTAGTCCTGTGACTTAATTGGACCTGAAAAAAACTTTGGGATTTCAATTTTTATTTCTTACAATGAGTTGTTATAAAAGAGAGGGTTAGCTACAATTATTTTCAAGATTTCAACCAGAGAGTACAAGTTATATCCTAAAATCCAGTTCATACTGCATATTGCATAGCCACACTCTAATATCACCAATGCCTCGAAGTGCACAATACCAAATCTGCACATAGAGGTATTGGTATTAGAGTGGACATTTTGGCCAGTGACTACAGTTTTCTTTTCTGTGCACAGCAAGCAGCTTCTCTTGTTTGACAACATTTTTGGAGCCAAAATGTTGAAATGATTTCTATTTATATCTTCAGCTGTGCTCTCTCTAATAATAGAGCCACAGGCATCTGGGATCATCTTACAATTAAATGAAACAGGGAGAAGTCAAAACCAGGCTGTCTTCTGTCTGCTGACCCTCTCTGGCCCAACTTCCACATTAGCAACATCATTATTGTCCTGCCTTCCCTGGCTCTTCTTCCATTGCTGCCATCCTCAGGCTGCCCGAATTTCTCTGCTCACTCCTCTAACCATGACCCACGTTCCCACAGTGCATGATTCTGACTATGCATTTCTTATAAGATTTACAAATACCTGAGGAGTTAATGAAAAGGAAAATGTTCCACCATTTTCCTTAATGTTCGTCTGTAGCTTTTTCTTCTGCTGGCGAGATAGGCACTTGACTTTCAAAAAGAACGAACAATTTGCAAAGATCCCCACAGTCATCCTGCAGGAAAAAAAGAAAAACCAATTTTGAAGCCATAGTTTTTAAGGACATTCCCCTCAGTCAATCTAATATATTCAGTGAATTTAGAATTGTTCTACATGCAAACTGTAGATGAATGGGGCTTTTTTTTTTTTTTTT